TGACCTTCAGGACACCTTGCTGTGAATGCAGTGTCAGTGTCCTGAGGAGAAGGCAGTGTGTGTGCAGTGAGGATGGTAGTGGAGGTCAGTGCTGCCTCGTGCCAGCAGTGTTACTTGGGCACCTCTGCCAGGAGCTGTGGCTGTCACAGCCACTCAGATCTCCCGTCCCAGGCAGGAGGTGTCAGATGTGCTCAGAGCATTGGGACGTCAAGTTACACGTTCTGACCTCTGGACTTCAGGTGTGTCCTCAAGAAACTTCTGCGAAGAACTTCAGATCATTAAACATTTGAATGAGCTAACATAGGAAGTTCCAAGGTTACACCTTGTTGAAAATGAGGCAAACTCAGAGGACTTGGAGTGGTTTAGGTGGCAGAATAGCAGGAGAAACGTTAGAGCTTTCCCTTCAGATCTGCTGTGAGGAAATCCTACAGTGTCTCAGTGTGGAGGGAGTTTGTTCTCAGTACATTCCAGAGTAATTTTTTCTTTGCCTGGCTAGCAGAGTTAGGATCCCAAAAATACAAAGCCTTCCAAAACTTTGTTCTTTCTCAGCTGCAAACCAAGGGTGAGAAGAAATAAACCTGCTAACGAAGCAGAACATTGGCACTCTGAATCTTGTTCTAGGCAGATTTCAGATCCTAATCGATGTCTGTCAATCCCTTTCTAGATCATGAAGCAGCACAAAGATCTCAAACCTCCAACAGCTTTCAGTTCCAGCCTCCTCTGCCACCTGGATCTCCATCAATGTCAACTCCTCTTCCTTTACGACGTGGAACACCTCCACTTACACCACCTCAGCCTTCAACACCCACCCACTCTCCTCTTCCTAGGGCTACTCCACCACTGGATCCTCCCAGTGATAATGCTTATCCAAAGATAGTGGACTCAGTCATGGATGAGGATACTCTGACCCTGGAGGAGCTGGAGGAACAGCAGAGGTTGATCTGGGCAGCACTAGAGCAGGCAGAGAGCACAAACAGTGACTCTGATGTTCCTGTTGATACACCTTTAACTGGGAATTCTGTTCCATCATCACCATCTAGGAGTGAAGTAGATCTCGTTGCAGAAGTCAGGTCACCTGAGAAGGTGATCTCAGTGGAAACTGAGGCTCCTGACATCAGTGAGCAGACACCAGAAAATGAACTTTCTATAGCTAGTCCCGGCCCAGGAGACAATTTAGTTAACTCTGAGGACAATCCTGATAACACAGTTCCTGAAGAAGTGCTGGAGAACACCCTGCCTGCTCCCAGCAGTGAGGGCAGTGATGGGGAAAGCACAGCTGGCAATAAAGTGCTCACAAGCCCTGAATCATCTGCCCCAAAATCCAGTCTTGTTCCTGACATGAGCAAGTTTGCTGCAGGTATATCACCCTTTGAGTATGAGAACATGGAGGAATCCACGGGGGTTTATCTCCGGATCAGAAGTCTCTTAAAGAATTCCCCAAGGAACCAGCAAAAGAAAAAGACTTAAGCTGAGCCAGTCTTCCTTCAGCTCCTTGTGCCCAAATCGCAGCGTCCCCCTGTTCTGCAGACTCTGACAACTTCCCTTGTCCTCTGGGGGAAGGAGCAAGTCCTGATGACTACAGGTCTGCCCAGTTCTTCCTTGGATTGAAGTCAGTTCAGAGCTTCCACATTGACCAGGACCACCAGGACATAAAGAGTAGTCCCAGATTCCATCTGTTTGCTGAGGAATGACAGGACTGTTGATTTGCTGAGAGCATTTTACTTGCCAGTACCTGAGACTCTGGAATGAGGAGTTGATGGTTTGGTGTTGATGACTTGTTGAGGTCCAGGTGGATCGGTGAATTTTTTTTTTATCTGTCCTTTGTACAATGATCTCCACTTTATACATTTTGCTAATTCTTCTGTAGATAAGTTTAATATATTCAGAATGTTTTTAAATAATGTTAAGAGTTCCCACATCAGTCCTGTCAGTTGGATGAAAAGGATTGGGGATTATTTTCACCATTTCGAGTATTTTTATAAATTATTTATGTGGGTCTGTTTTAATTACCACTGTTACCTTTTGTACCACCAGCCTCCACAGAAACCCGCTGTACATACATGTCCTGGTTGTGTACAGAGGTTTAATAAAGGAGCTTTTAGCTACAGAGCCTTTAATTGGAGTCCTGAACCGTCCAAGTGCTGAAGATGAGGAGAAAAACAAAATGAGGAGAAAGAAAGTTCAATATTCTTGGAAGGGCCACAGTGACTGAGTTCAGATTTTTAAAGAAGGTGTTAGGGTTGTTTTAGCTACTTAAGCACAATCTGCTCACACCATTCAGCTCTCGTCGTCCGTGGGCTGCTCTGAATGCTTAAAGGTGCTGCAGTTCTGCTGATTCATAGTCCTAACACTTGTTTTTCCTCTTGGTTGCTTTCAGAGGAGCTGTAGGGGAATTGTCTGTACCTTACTCGTGTTGTCAAGAGAGGGAGCACTAGATGGACCTGACAATGTTCCTTGGAGCTGGTAAAGCTTTTGTCCTTCTAGAAGTGCAGGAAAAGTCTTCCTAGCCGAGTGCAGTGCATAGAAAACCAAAGTATTTTCAAGTACCTGAGAAGCAGCTTGTGGAAGGAGATGTTCAGAGGTGTTCTAAGGTAACTTCAGAGGGTGAACTTGATCCTTTCGAGTTCTCAGGTTTGTAGTTAGTGCACATTGCCCAGAGATGCTCAGGGTACAGGATGTTGGTACACTGTGCCTAAGGGAGCCTCAGGGTTTTCACAGTTAAAGCCTTTATTTTCTTTTTTTCCCATAAAATTTAAGGAAGGGAATCCCAAAGTGTCTTTATGTATGAGCAGTTTGTCTTCTGAGAGGCTGAAAAACCCTTCTGCAGTGTAAACCAGCTGAGCTTATCTGGCTGCATTTAGAAAGCAAGAGTGAAAATCAAAGGCTTTTTTCTTCATATCTCACAGGAGATGTAGGGTTTCCCTAGCAGGAGAGAACAACAAAATTGAGGCCTTGTGCAGCCTGACCTAGTGGAGAGGTGTCCCTGCCCAGGGCAGGGAGGGTTGGGACTGGATGATCTGTAAGGTCCATTCCAACCCTTAAATTCTGTGGTTCTCTGAAAATAGCACAGTGCTTCCAGCCTGTACCCACTTGACAAAGAGACCTCTCTGGGGAAGCACAGAGAGCTCTGGCACTCGCCCCGTGCCTCTTCCTCCTCCTGCCACAGAGCTAGGAGCCTGTGCTGGCAGTTTGCACAGGTCACTCTGCTGCATCCTCCCTGGGAGGATGAGGTGCAGAGCATGAGGTAATGGTTTCCACTGCACACACCTTGTGGGTGTGTTGAGCTGCTCATACTTCAAACATCCATTTCTCTTCCCACACCTTAGAGACCTCTAATAGCTCTTAGGAAATGCTTTCTTAGCAGGACATGCAGCCTGAACTGAAGCACTTGTTTGCTTCTGCCTTGGAACTGGGGGATGAAAATCATGTGCTTAGTGCCCTTTAGTGCTCTGTGTGTTCACAGCAAATGCACCATCAGCCACCTTCCACACCAGGGTAGATCAGCTGTGACTAGGGTAATGTCATTTTTGAGTCCTTTGCCTTGCAAAATGTAAAGAAAACTTTGACAAAATCCCTGTAATCCTTTTCTTGAAATCAGATTTTTGTGATGCATATGCAGGAACTGGATAATATTTGGGTTTCATGTTAGTAATCAGTTGGAAATTGGGGTAACCCTACAACATTCTGGTGTCTGTCCAACTGTCCCTTTGGATTGGCCTTTGTGAGGAGGGGAACAGTGCCCTGAGAGGGCTGAGCAGGACCTGGAAGTGAAACTACTGTATTTGCCTCTGCTGTGAGGCACAGTTAGTTAGGGATGGGGAGTTATCGCTCCTGTTTCTCATGGTTCTCTCACTCATCTTGCTGCCTTAGCTGTTTGTCTGTCATTCACTCTTCCCACCCAGTGCTGTATATTTCTGCCCTGAAGAGATCTGTAATTACTGAGGGTCTGAGTCTGTCAGCTCTGACTGCACCAGTGGGTTTTATGGATCTGCAGTCACATCACTCTGCAAGTCCTGAGGAAAAGCTGAATAGCAAAGGTTTTCTGGCACTTTTAAGTCCCATTCCCATGGCAATGGGTGTGGCACAATAACCTAGATTAGAGTTTACTGAAATGACTGAGCAATAAAATCTGAGGGGTACACAGTTCGTGTTGTGCAGCGTGGGCAGGCAGCACTTACTTTCCCACAGGTTCCACTTGCCACATCCCTTGTGTTCATCTCCAGCATTTGGAACAGCTAAAGTATTTAAAACAGTTTATGCATGTCTAGAAAGTGGAACCTGCAAAATACTGTGGCTATCAGTCAGGTGACAAGTTGTCTCTTGGAAAGATTTGGATTCCTAAAGTCTGTGTTTGGAACCTAATTCACAGTGCTGGAAGCATCAAGAGGAGTAGCTGAGATTGCAGGGGATATCTCAAAGACATGGTAGCTGCTGAAATCCTTGTTTTTACTGCAAAGTCTCAGGCAGCACAGCTGGGGGAGACCCAGAAGGGAAAAGGAAGAGGAGGTAAAAGCTCAGAGTGTTTGGGATGCCTTGGCAGACCCTGTGGAGCCCCAGGGCCCTGCAGGGCTGTGTCTCTGGGAGCTGAATGCCACGGGGCTCGGTGTGTCCTGAGCACGTGGGGTATTACACTCTGGGGGTGGGAGGGGAGGAATTGCTCCCACTCCCTGGAGCAGCTCACAAACAGGATGCATTTAATGACAAGGTAGTTGCTGTGTGGCAGTTGGACTCTGCCTAAACTTGAGTTAGCTCCAAGCAGCAAAGAATTGACATAAAATTTTTTGCCATGTGTATTTAGTTGTCACCCAGTGACTGAATAAAAATGTAGTTACCTTTCCTTTAGAATCCATCACTTGGTAGGAACAAAATCCTGCTTTGCTTCCCTGGAGGTGAGAGTTCAGCCCTTGGGGTGTTCACATAAGAGCTGGAATGATTTGCATAGTCCATCTTTATTAACACTCATTTCTCAGTTATCTGTGAAATGAAACACTGCTCATCAAGCAGAGCATGATGGTTAATTTAAGCACCTTGTTCAGAGCAGAGAGCAGAAAGGATTCTCTACTGTTCTCTGTTGTTTTACCCACGTTGGGCAGAGCAAATAATGTAAAATGGGGGGAAAGTTTGTCTTTCAGAGCTTTCTTTTTTTCACTGCTGCTGGGGATGTGGCTGAGCCAGGGGAGGGAGCAGGAACAGGCAGAGTTCTCCCAGCCTCTGCAGAGACCCTGCAGAAAGCAGCAGAGCCAGGGTCTGTGCTGGGATGTTTGCAGCAGCACTCGTGTGCTTCAAAAAAAGCCATTAGCTGCTCTCTCTGTAGCAGATGTGACCATCAGCTCTGTGTAGGAGCTGCCAGATGTACACACTGAAGAGATCATTCAGATGAAATGAAAACCCTGACTCCAATCTCCATACTTGGGTGAATACATCCCATTGAGCAGGCAAAAAGGGATCTCTTCAGTCAGGAGATCCTTAAAGAGCATCTGAGCTGCTCCAAAAGCTTCAGCAGATTTGGGCCCTTCACAAATGTGAACCAGGGCAGAAACAATTCCAGCAGGTGTTCCCCCACTGTGGGGGAGAACAGTCCTAGTTCTGACTCAAGGCTCACACTTGTGGCCAGGATGGCTGTAGCTGTGTCAGCATCCCAAATTTCCTTGGAGCAGCTCCTGTTCTCACAGCTAGGAAAACACCAGTTTATCATGCGCTGACTGATCTGATCGTGCAGATCAGAAAACAGAGCCACTAGGACTGGAGCCAGAGGTATTCTGGCTTTCAGTCTGGTGCAGTCCTTCCTAGGAGTGGGATTTCTAGCTCCAGCATCTCTTTTCCTGCCAGGAGTTACCCACTGGCAGTGCCCACACTAAAGCTCTGGCACACAGAGGCTCAGCCATTCCAAAGTGGGATGAACTGCAGTTGCAGTTGCTCCAAAGCTTCTTTTTCATGGTGTGCAGTTGATTCTTCTTGAAGAATGGACAACAAACTCTCTTTGTTTCCTACAGGACTACTTGGATCTTGAAGCTGAGTCTGATCAGTGGGAAATTACCTGGAAAACCAAAGGTGTATTTACTCTCTCTGTGCAACACCAATCTCAACGCTTGCTTTAGCACAGGACATTTTGTCTTAGCCTTGCAAGGGAGAAAAGTAAGTTACTTACACATTTGAACCATGTTTTGCCTGTCATTTTACCACTGCTTCCACTCTGCCACAAGGGCTACAACTCTCATCTTCAGCAGTAAACTGACTTGTGGTGCTGTTCCCTGCCCCAGATCCATCAACTACTGCTTACCAAATGTGCACTGAACTGCATATGCCTGAAGTGTACTCACAGGGTGACAAATGAACTGAGAGGCAAAGAATCCAATTAATGATGGAAAATGACAGATACACTTAGAGAAAAACCCACTCTGCATTAGCATCATATCGATAGAAAGCTCAGATCTGTGACACCAGGCAGAGGCTCAGCCTGTAGCTCT